CTAAATTTAATTTTAAGATCACGAATTAAATTGATGAACAATTTTATAATTTGATGCTTAATTGGCATTATTTTAAAGAGATCTTAATGTATCGAAAATCCATAAATAAATTTATTGCGAATTGCGAAAAGTTTTACCTCGGCCAGGAATCAAATCCAGATTTCTAGTATTCCATGTGAGCGTCTTAAGGCTGATATTATATCTGTTGTACAACAAATTGTTCAAACTTGTTGATTAGCTACAAGACAGAGAGATTCGAGAAACTCTTTATCCTGCAATCAACAGGTTTGAAAAGCTTGTAGTACGATAAAAAACGGATGAATGTAATATTAGCTTACTTTTAGACCCCGGAGGTCTTAGTAATATTTTTCGCAACAACCGATATGTAGGAATACACGCATTTTTCAGAACGTGTATAAACAATAATAAATGATTTATTACGATCGAACAATGTGAATATACAATAAGTAAAAAATGACGCCATAACGATCAAAGCTGGATTTTAAGTGCTTTAAATAATTCCATGTAAATTTATATACTTTGATACTTTGATAATTTAATAATTTGATACTTAATTGGCATCGTTTTAAAGAGATCTTAATGTATTGGAAATCTGTAAATTTATTGTAAAAAATATTACTTCGATCTTCAGCTTCGACCGTTATAGGCGTTATTTCTTATTTATTGTGTATTTACATTATAATGTTTATACCAAATAAATTGTTTATTACTGTTTATACATGCTTTAAGAAATGCATACGTTCCTACTTTGGGATAATTAATTTACTTGAGTTACTTCCCAATTATCCGTACGAACAGTCGTCCTAATAAGGACAGATGGATGAGACTTAGTCGTCCTGACAAGGACGGATATTTCGTTAGGCGAGCAGAGAGAGACCAATGAGAGATAATTTGCCGGATTCTGAAAAGAACCTGGCAGCGATAGATGTTGACTGTTAGGTATTTGAAACGACTATTAGGAGGTACCGGTCGACGCTGCTCAAACCGACGCCTTACGCTACGCGATCTTCTTCAGAGTCGAGATATCCCGTGAACTTCGGGCACTTCGGGTATGTAGTATTGGGTTCTCCTCTTGCTAAAAAGATGCGCGTGTGCATTAAGGTTCGCGTATCTCTGTCTTAGAAGTAATCTCCAAGGCCGAAGGTAGTCCGGTAATCGTATTCGTTGGAGAACTGTTGCGGGTTGATCCTGAGTTGCTAGTGAATATGATGGCCCGTCACTTCTATCAACGGAGAAGCCGGGTCTGGGAGAGAATAAGATTCTTTAAATCTCTAGCTTGGCGCGTCGGGTACTGTTAGGAATATTTTGAGACCGCTGACATAGTTTACTCGACGTCCGCAAGGACGGAGAAGTCGGGTCTTGGAGAAAAGATTTCCCGAACCTCTGGAGAATTATTGGATGCTGCGAGTGACGACTCACTCGGGACCGTTGGCGGAAGTTGCTCAACGTCCGTTAGGTCCGGTAGTGGAGAGAGAGAGAGAGAGAGAATCTCTTCAAACCACTGGCAAGCTGTCCGTTGAGCCGGATTCTGTAGAGAGAGAATCTTTCCGAACCACTGGCAAGATATGTGAGATCGTCTGGAAAAAAATCGAGTCTAGGAAGAAAGACTTTTTTCTGAACCACTAACTCTGCCGTTTTTTGGTACACTTTGGTATTTGATGGACTGATTGTCCTGCAGTGGACGTAAAGGCCTTGGAGGAATGGTCTAACTGCTTCTCGAATCGAGGTAGAATTTTGGTTTCTCTTGCTTAAGCAGAGATTGTAGACAAGCCCTGACAAGGGCTGTTGAAAGTTATACCATCTCTAAAGACTTCTCATGATCTCAGCCTCCTTGACTAAAAAGCCGAATGTTTGCTTTTATTTATGTAAAATTATATATTTTTATTATTTTAAAAAGCTTGTGTTATATATTATAAATACTGGTAAGGTTCTTGGCAGTTTTCCTTACCTATACAATAAATATTGATATTCTTTCACTTTTGCTTAATGAAAAATGTTCATTTATATAGAACTATGTTTATAAACGATTATTTTTATATTATTCCCTTTGTTAACTTGTCTTTATAATATTCAATAATCAATAATTCAAATTATATTAAATTATATATTTATATTCAAATTTATGTATACATATATTATATAGTATCACATCTCTATTTTATTTGTTAAGTCATTATTTTACAGAAATTTGTAAATAACTGTCAGATTAAATGGAGATTATAGAGCATTCTATTTTACTCGAGTTAAATATGTTTATGAGATCACATTTAACGCACATCCACGCAAAAGAGAGCCCACACGTATTACGTTAATCGTTGAAATTGTGTGTTTTTTATGAGGATAGGTGACTTGAATCTTCATAAAAAAATACATGTAGCCCGTGCCCCATGGTAGTATGGGGCTCTTGTAAACTCACTAAAAACATCTTCCTATACGTCATTCACCATCCCCACGAAACCGCAAGTTAAGCGTTACATCATGGAGTGGTACAACTGTTAGCTTCTCATTTATCGTTATTCTCCTTCATCTCCTATCCTTACTTGATGCCCTTAGAATTGGTCGATTTCTCCTTTCTTGATCTTTTCGACGAAGATCCTTCAAGAGTTTCATCGTAAATGTTTAAACTGCTTTCCACTTTCGCTGAGAAGTAAGCATATGTGGCACCATGATCTCTGGGGTAATATTTTCTCCTATCTCCACCTCCATAACGTCGACAATAGAAAAAGTGTTCAGCATCCTCAAATATCCTCCACAATCCAGGCAGTGACTCTCTAATTTGAACCGGTATAACAATCCAGGCAGTGACTCTCTAATTTGAACCGGTATAACAATCCAGGCAGTGACTCTCTAATTTGAACCGGTATAACTCGGAAATATCTATAACTCGTCAGTATTTGTGCCAAATAGTGGTCTAGTTCGTCGTGTTGCCTCTATACCTATGGTCAAATATCCAGGATAACGTGATAAGTCCATTTTTGCCGCTCATCTTGTTTCCACTATAAGTTGCCACAAGTTAAGCGTTTCTTCTTCTACAGTTTTTTGTTGGTCCTTGTCTCTCACGCGATACAGCCTCCGTCTCTCTTCCGCTACAAGGTCAAAAGATATCATTCTTGCAATGACCAAAGCTGTTAAATGTGACACAATGTGATACGTACTAGACACTCGCAGCGCATACTCGTACAGTCGCTGGACAGACTATATCCTCTTGCTGTGAGATGGCACCTTCATAGAATCAGCCGAGATAGGTGCTCCATACATCGTTATTGATGTAACTACAATTGCCTTCAAATTGACCTAGGTCTTCCTACATTGGGCATAATGCGCATAAAAATCGTGTTTGCTTTAACGGCCTTGCTGCTGATATAGTTAAGGTGCTCCCCAAAGGACAGCCTTGCATCAATCTTAATCCCCAGATACCTCACACAGGATTTTGATTCAATCTCATGGTTAACAACCGTGAGTGTTATCATTTCTTTCTTTTTCCTTCTTGTAATCGCGACTGCTTCCGTCTTGTGCGCTGCCAGCTAGAGTCCAACATTTAGAGTTGACAGCCACCTCTGGATGATCGTCACCGTTTCATGGGAGGTTCGTACAATCTTCTCGAGATATTTCGCAACAAGAGCACCGCCACATCATCTGCATATCGAATTATCTTTCGCTTCCTCAGGTATGGGAAGAGGTATGAGGATGTCGTCCTACATGACATTCCATAGCAAAGGACCAAAAACAGATCCCTGTGGAACCCCATCAGTAATATTGTATCCTTAGTTGTGCCCTCATTAGTGTCATATCTCAGGATCCTATCTTGAAGATAGTCGGCTAAAATACGCCGGATGTAGACCTGGTAATATTCGATACCTTTTTATGCACGTGGCGTATATTTTTTCTTTTTTCGAAAAAGATTTTTTTAGGAATTTTATTTATATGTCTATTTCTAATGTAATAATTATTAAAGTAGAGAAGAAGAGAGAGATAGAAAGAAAGAAAAAATTCTTTATTGCCTTTACATTTATTTATTTTATAAGAAATTTTATTACGATACGTCAGCAAATTTATTTCTTGCAGCATTATGATAATTAAACAACACGAATATATAATCGTGATAAATAAGATATGTTCGAAAACATTGAACGTTACAATTAGCTGCTCTATGGCCAAAATTAAATAAACAATATTTTATAAAAACAAGAATTTCTTTACTCATATTTTGTTTTAATTGACAAAGTACATTCTTTTATATATCATTAAAAATATTTGACTGCTTTTAGCAGTTTAATAAAGTCGCTATTATTATTATTGTTATTATCATTAATATTATTATAAAAAAAAACTCTTAATTCTATACTTGCTGCACTGTATTGTATTTGCCTTCAACGCTATTTCGCACAGACCACAATATAAGACGAATACATGGAATGCGCATATAGAGGCGTTTCTCGTACATATTTCAAAAATAGTTTTTAGGAATATGATTATATTATATTTCGTTATCTATATAAAATACTTTTAAGCGTTGTCACGAAAAAATTAAAAAGGTTTCGAATATTATGAGTGAGAGTGCTAGTATTGAAAAAATAAAGAATATAAAGCAATCTTTTATTGTAATCATTAAGTATTCTTGAAACCATTCAATTTTTATTCAAAATATTTTTTGTATCTCTCATAGTTTCGGCGATATTCCCTTTGAAAAAAAAATCGAATTCTTGAAGAGATTTCTTTTCACCTCCTTAATGTACGACTCACACGTATAAAAAATTATGTATCACGTATCTCTTATTTTTGTCTATATTTTCATATTCAAAACTTATTAAAATTGAATAGGAACACTTGGTTGTGTTTCCTCGTGATTTCCCAGTATTAACTTTCGAGTTATAAATCATGGACGCATGGACCAACACTTGCATTACATATAAACCTATATCCGTACATGCTAATATGTGTATGTAGTATGTGAATATATATTAAATGTTTGAACTTACGCTAGAAGTCATATTTCCCTGGTTAACATGCTGCGCCGGCAATTTCTCCTGATAGAAATCATCGTTTTGGGAACTCGGTACATTCTGGACAAAATCGAGGAGCCGACGGTTCGGGCTGTTAGGCGTAGTAGGCAGATCATTCGATAAATTCGGGAAACAAGCATTAGATGTACTGCGCCGATGCCGCGATAAACTATAATGCTCGTAATTGCGGTAGCAACCGGGTCCAGTCTGAGCAGGTCCACGACCGCACGCAGATTCCCCCTCCGTGCTGTTACCATCCACTCCAGACATGTTATGACCTTGAAATAAATTCAAAATCTGCGTTATTCTCCAGAATAGAAGTATCGCTGAAGAAATTAACGATTGAATACTATCGTTTAAATGTATATTATTACTTACTTAAGTATTATATGAATTAAACATTTTATCAACTACATAATAAAAATTGTCAAGCACATTATAAATTGTTTTAATAAAAAATATTTACAAGATACTTGGTAAAATTTACACATTACATCTTAATACGGATCAGTTGCCATTATATTATTACATTTTGGCATATATATGACTTCCAGGAATTATCAGGATTCCTTAAATAATACAAACAGTAATCAAAGGAGGAGAATTATATAGCCACATGCCTTTCTCTCTTTCTCTGTATTTATTTGTCCTTAAATGTAATGTTTACATACAACTAAAAAATTATATTATCAAATATCTATCCCTTAATTATCTTTCGTCTATGAATCCAAGTTTAGGCTCGGTGAACGATCTCATGATGTCCGTGTCACACTACGCATTGGAGATTAAGAATTATGAATTGAAGATTAGAATGTGGTCAATTAGATAATTTTAATTTTAATCCGTTTCGTTCTGATTGGCTGAATTCTAATTCTCGATTCGTAATCCTCAATCTCCAATGCGTAGTGTAACACAGGCATAATGCTACGTCTTTTCTATACTGGGTTATTTTTTAAGTATAAGAAACCGAACTCCGTCGCATTTATCGACGGTGACGCGTACTATTTGCTCGTGACTTTAAATTTTAGTAAAGATAACGTCATCGGATATGATCAATCAATTACCATGCTGTCTATGTATGATAAAATTTTCATAAACAACTAAGCCAGGTTGAAAACATCATTATGTGTGTATGTATTGTAAAATTTATATAAGATATTTTACATTTATCATTATTTGGCACACTTATTCTATTTAAAATAATAGAGAATCACAAACTGTTTAATATATTTTAAAATTATTGAAATTTTACTGTGTTTTTTATAAAATAAAATAAATTAAACTTATTTTATACATTATTATGGAATTATTAATATGTTAGAAAGAATCACAGTAAAATTATTTAAAATATTATGTTCTACGATTACCACGATTTTCAGGGTAAATTTTAAAAGAAAATTCTCTCCGTGTGTATATATGTATAAAACTTAAAAGGAAAGAAAGGAGAGAGGTATGAAAAGAAGGAAAGCCGGGGGAGTGGAGAGAGAGAGAGAGAGAGAGAGAGAAAGATAAATGAAAGAAAAAGAAAAAGATTAGTTTCTAATCTAATACATCTATTACGACATATCTAATATATCTATTATATGAACGACATATATCTAATATATCTCTTAGACATATGTCGTTGGCGCTAGCGATACAGTTACAGGTTCTGATGGACGCTAGCGATGCATGGTTAGCGCCAGTAAACACTGCGATATCTTCTACATCATTCTACTGTTCTGCACTTGAATCTGCAGATATTCCGTAGAGATAAATTAAAGGGAGATTGTGTCCAGCAAGGACACAGCACACAGTATAACACAGTGAATTCTTATTGTTTGCCAACATTAAATCCATTCATTCAAAATGACGCTATTATTATTGGTTAATTAAATAAAGTATAAAAATAAAGATGTTTATTTTCATATATCTGAATTTGTATATATACAGGGTGTTTCTGAAATAACGCCCACCAATCATACAATGCTATTCTTAGTAAAAAAAACTGAGTCGAAAAGTCCTGTACCATTTTGCAATTTTCGCAATATTTTTTTTAGTCATCCAATGAGTAAAATGTCTAAAACCGACCGTGTAAGACAACTTTAAGATATCTTTAAGAGTTCTTTAAGAAACATCGTCAAAATATTTCACAAAGAACACTGAAAGATATCTTAAAATTGTCTTATACATCGATTTTATCTGTTTATTCGGCAATCTTTAGAAATTAATATCTCGTCAACTATTCCAAAAATTGCAAAATATACAAGACTTTTCGACTCAGTTTTTTATTAGGAACAGCACTGTATGATTAGTGGGCGTTATTTCAGAAACACCCTGTATATCTGCTTATTGTGACGCTCTGTATGTATCATATACGTCGTACAGTATATGACATCCATGTTTTTATACATATATTGCGAATGCTTTAAACACCTCGAAAAGGTAAAAATTTCTCATGCGAATAAAATGTACATCTATTAATAGCGTTTTCAACCCGAGTGAGTTTGCACCGATTTGGGTTGGATATTATTGATGTTACATGTTCTACCAATATATAGGAGAGCATACAACGTCATTAATTCGACTCAGGTTGGTGCTGCAAACCCGCTCGGGCCGAATATATGCTATAAGAAAAGAGATCGAAAGACGGAACAAGGAATAGAGACGACTAATCGATATGATTGTATCGATCTTCTCTCTCAGAGGTACACTTTATACGCATGAACGAAGGAGAGAGAGAACGCATCTGCGCCAAATAAGTGCGTCCTTTTCTACATGAGCATTACCTCCACTCCTCAAATTTCGGTGAATGTTCAATCTGGATATATACTATATTTATGGAAATTTTAATTAATTACTAAATTTTATATAAATAGCATATAAACAACAAGTAGGGTCACCTCAGTGTGGTAAGTCTGTATCTCGATTCTGTAATTCTTAATGACAGTGTCTCGATATCGTTATATTATTGTTACGTAGATATTATACACGATAAAAAAAGTTACGCAATGGTAACATAACGATATCGAGAATTGACGTAGACTTACAGAATTGAGATATTGGAGCACTTTCACGATGTTAGAAAAGTAGGCGAAGAGCTGCATTTTCATTGTATTTTATATTGTTCGTGGGGCCTTGCTGTCTTCCTACAATCAGTCACGGATGTTTTTATGCTTTAGTTTACAAATGTATGTACTTTAAGCAGAAATCAACCGAAACCAAGGGAAAAAAAAAATTTGTTTTTGAATTTGTAAATTTTTCACTACAATTTCGAAAATTGAGGTCTCTGCTTCTCACAGAAGATATCATTCGATCAAAGTTGAATTTTTCAATAGTTTTTATTAGCTCAAGTACGCAATTTTTCCTCGCTATTAGATCCTCGAAAAAAAAGGTTTCTTCACCCCACCCTAATATACCATATGTATTATAGAAATATATTAAAAAGACAGAAAATATATAACAATATGAATTGCAGATCGTATCTTTCGCTAGCACATTAGTCCATCGCTTACCAGTATCGACAATGACGTCGATGAGATCCATACTCTTGGCGAAAGCGTCTCTCAAGTTGATATGATGAAAAGACACGATGCTGCCTTCCCGTTTGGCCCTCTCAAGAGCCTCTCGTCTTTTGATGGCTTTTTCCCGTCTCATCTGATTTTTGTAGAATTCGGCGAAATTGTTGACGATAATGGGAATGGGCAACGCGATTACCAGGACACCACATATACAACACACACTGCCGATCACTTTGCCGAGCGGGGTCGTGGGGTAGATGTCGCCGTATCCGACGGTGGTCATTGTGATGCCTGCCCACCAGAAGGTCTCTGGAATGCTTATGAATTTGGTCCCGGGTTCCTCCTTCTCGGCAAAATAGGCGAGACTCGAGAATATGAGGACGCCCATTGCCAAGAAAAGCATCAGTAATCCTAACTCTTTATACGAGTTACGTAAAGTGAAGCCGAGACTCTGTAGCCCGGTCGAATGACGGGCTAATTTCAGGATCCTTAGGATCCGCATTATACGAAAGATCTGCACTACCCTGCGCACGTCCTGGAACTGGTCGTTCGCATTTTTGTTGGTTTCGACCAGGAATAAAGATACGAAGTATGGTAGTATCGCCAGCAAATCGATCACGTTAAGACCGCCTTTGAAAAATTTCCATTTGTCCGGCGAGGCACTGAACCTAAGCAAGTATTCAAGAGTAAACCACGAAATGCACACAGCCTCCACCATAGCGAGCTGCGGATTGTCTTGAAAGTTTCCCTTCTCGTCATTTACTTGCATACTAGGAATGGTGTTGAGAGTTAGTGCGATCGTTGAAAGCACAATAAAGAGTATTGATATCACAGCTATCACCTGAAAAAGCGACGGATCAACTGATCAAAGAAAGCTAATCACAAGTTATTTAACTTACGTGTAACAGTTTTCCCTTTTGATATCTTTCTTTATCTGTCTCTCTCTATTGTAACTGAGTAACGAGTGAGTGCCAAGAAAGAAGAAGAGGGAAAAAAGAATAAGAAAGAGGACGAGAGGTAAGGAGAAGAAAGGAAAGAAGATAGAAAGGAAAAAGAAGAGAGGAGAGAGAGTGTGGGAAGGAGAGTGGGAAAAAAGATAGAGGAAACGAAATAGAGAGAGGGAGAGAGAGAGAAGCCACCCATCTAATGTTCCTCTTGCATTCGCGGGCATGCATTCTATTCTTTTCTTTTCTCTTCTCCTTCCCCCACTTCTATCTTTTTTCCTTCTCTTCCATATTTATAGTCTCTTCATTACAGTCTCTTATCATGGCTCACTCTTTCTCTTTTTCTGTGCCTCTCTCTCTCTCTCTCTCTCTCTCTCTCCTTCCTTATTCTTTCTGCCCTATTTTCTCTCTTTTTCTTTTCCCATCTCGTTCCTTTTTGTGTACGTATGCATACTCGCGTACTCGTGTGTACGACTGTATATAGGGTGGCCCACGTAAAGTGTGACAAGCCAAGTCAATAACTCGAAGAATATGGAAGATACGAAAAAAGTGAAACGGTTTCGAGGGAGACGTATTTTGGTCACGTTCTTTTCTAGATGAAAGTGCCAAAAAGATACCAAAGTTATCTCCACTTTTTAAATGCAATTATATGATTTTTTTTACATAATATGATTCCTTTAGTTATTATGCATATAAAAGTATGGGGTCTGTACTTTTTCGACACTTGGTGGAGGTACTCCTCAAGATCCTCTCTAGATACTGACTGTCTGTTTTCCACAATAGAAAGAGAGAGAGAGAGAGAGAGAGAGAGAGAGAGAGAGAGGGAGGAGGGAGGGGGAGATGTTTAAGGACAAAGATATATGCAAAGGTCGGATTTTGAGACAGAATCTTGTATTAAAATAAAAATATAAAAAACCAATAGTTTACTAGATATTTTATTCCGGCACATATTGAAATATTAAATCTACATTTCATATAAACTATTATTTTTTTATAATCCTATACCTTAATACTTTTATGAACAGAATAATAAGATGAATCAATTATTAAAGAAAACACAGTTGCTTAAAAAAAATTTGTAAGCAAAATGGATAATTTTTTAAATAAGCAACTATGAGAGTTTTCTTTACATCAATTGATTCATCTCATTATTTTGTTCATAAAAGTATCAAAGCACGATTATCAAATAATTAATAATTTACAAGATATGTATTTAATATTTCATGTTATATGTGCCAAATAAAGTATAAAATATCTCGTAACTTTTTGATATCTTTACCTTAATACTTTTATATGCAGAATAATTAGAGGAATAATATTATGTAAATAAACTGATATATATAGCTTGTTTCACTGTAGCTTATTGTACTAGGTCAGAATTAGTTCGGAACTCTACGAAAAAATAGGCCTATTATTACACATCCATACTCAGTCCAAGGGTTACTAGTCGGATGTGTAAGCTTATGTTTTCCAGTGACAATTACATGTTACTAACCGCGGTTAAAAGAGACTGGAGGACGTTGAGTGGTCGGCACTTTTGCTTTTTTTTTATTCAATGCAGGCAGAGAAGCTACATTTAATCTAACATCCGAAATGGACCTTATTCGAAACCGCGCACAGCGTACACATTCTGTTCCAACTGAATTGTGCACAATGCTGCACTTTGTGCATTCCTGTGTATAGTGAGTCACAGAAAGGTTGCAATTTTTTTTTTCAATGGGTTTTGAAATGCAGTCTGCTCACCGAAGCGATTGGCTCTTATTTACATTCAATCACTCTATAAGCAAGTCTGAGTCAGACTGAGTCCCGAAACGTATAAAAAATGTGTTGCATTGTCTTTCTGTGATTCACTGTACATATTTGTGTTAAGATGTGTTAAGCAATTGGAAAGTATCATCCTATAACATCACATCGAATTATATAATTATATTGTTATTATAATTTTATATGCATTTTCACCAATTCCATGATAATTTAAAAATAAATTTTTTTATAACTTTGGAAAATGACTTTTTTGAAACACTGTATCTGTAACAAAATATAAAACTGATAATGACGAATTACGAAAATGTTTCTACAGTGATAGAATTAAGCAAATATGAAATAACATATAATCTGTTAGCGCATTTGCGATATATGTACAATAAGCAAGCAAATATGCAAGAAAACAATTTTTTGATTGAGTACTTTTTCCATCACATTGAGTACGACATACATACAAAACTTCTCATTTTACTTGGATATTAAAAAAAATTAGTGCTATCTCTTACTTCCCCAACTTCTTATTATAATTATGGTTATTGAGACAATTCTTAATATTAGTAACCTTGTTGAAGAATAATACTAATCAATGAAGGTCCAATATTGTTAAGAAAATCTAGTGTCGAGTGATATTTATTTCTAAGCATAAATCCGTTCTGTTCTTCCGTGTGCTTATATAAAGTAGAATGGATAGATAAATGCATTTAGCTATAAGCCGAAAGATTCTTGCAATACAAAATACAAAAGGAGAAAGGCCATTGAAGAAGCAACATCTCTGATCAAGAGAGCCATCATATATGCAAGGAGGACATGATATAACTTCAATAAGCAAATGTTTCTGTGAAATATTGAAGAATATGCTGATTCAATAGAATCGATAGTGTTTACCTAGAAACGTGTAATGCAACTTTGTGAACATAGCTTTACCAGAGAGTATCTCGTCGTTTGAACGCAGTCTGCCCGACGTCGCTCGACTCATACAATTTTATTGCATTGTTCGGCCAGCTTAAAAACGTGCGTCCCTTCAAAACCCCGCTCCCTTGCTCAGAATTATATATATGAACTTGTTTTTTAAGAAATCATTAGTCCATCTCCTCCTTCCCCTGTGTCTCTCTTCCTAATATTTTTTACTCTAGAGCAATCGCTACAATGCGAAATCAATTCGTTGCTTCGAAGATTTAGCGAAATCATAATACCAATTATGCGCAATTAGGTTGTTAAATATAAAATAACAATGATTTTGCTTCACAATATTTAAATTGCAAGTAAATAGGGAAAGTGCACATACATTCGATAGCAAATCAATAAAGCAGCAGGTTTGCTTATCTCTTTCTTTATTTGCAATTATCCTTTCAAAAAATAATGTTATTTTAAATAATGTTATTTTAAATAATATCAAATAAAAAAATAAAAGTTTTGAATATTTATGTACAGAAAAATAAAAAACGACTAGAAACGTTTCTAGAAAATAAAATATACAAGGTAATTTAATACAAGCACGAATAACATTTAAAAGATAATAAAATATGATAAAAAATATACATTTTTTAAATCCTATATTCAAAAGCAACATATTTCATATGGAAATAGAGGTGAAATTATATGTATATACAAAGCGTCCCAGAATATTTAGAACTATTTTTATATATGCAGATAGAACGGAGTTAAAAAGTCTTCTACAATTTTTTTTCAATTTTCGCAATAATTAACGAGTCATTAATTATTAAAAATCGCAGTATTAGCCTATCTTGAAAAATTATTGAATCTAAACTGAAATTGTTCTGAAAATTTTGCTGAAATTTGTGGAAATTTTCCTAAAATTGGATTTAAACTTTGTTAAAAGCAATTAAAAAATATATATATACCGAAAAATCGCTGAAATTGCACTAAAACTTCTCTTTAAAAAAATATTGAATATTCTTTAACATTTTATTAAAAGTATTGCAAAATTGTTACGAATATACGAAAATTAATTTTTCTACATTTGTTTTACATAAATGGTTTTAATATGTGTGAGAAGACAGTATGATATTGAGTATGTTCTATTAGTACATTATAATTATATTTAACATTAATTATTTTTTTCTGTACGTGTTCCATCTTTTTCACAACATGTTTGATCAGATATGTGACAACTACGTCAGTTAGCATTATATTGAATAATTGAAGGATCAGTTCCCGTTGTCGATCGCAGAGATCAAGCTTGCTATGTTGTGGTACAACTTAGGATGGATAATCGTTTGGGAATATCATAAAATTATTTACCGAATTCAGGAAAAATATTCTTTTTTTATTATAATTTTATTATATGTCCTCTGTAATATGAAATCAGTAATACTTATTTTAGCAATAAAACTGGATCAATTAATTTCATTAAAATTTTACTGAAATTTCACTGAAAAATGTTTCAAAACAAAATTTCGTACAATTTCAATGAAGTTTCAAAATTTTAGTGAAATTAATTGATCCAGTTTCGCTGAAATTTCGTTGAAGCGAAACTTTTCCACCAGAGTTGTACCTATATTTAAGATAAAATAATATATTAAAATTGAGTAATTGAATAATATCTGTCGCTATAGTCTTTATTAGATTGTATCTACATTTAAGATAAAATATTATGTTAAGATTGAATAATAGATATTTCATAATTGCTACATTTTGATGAGAGCGGCGCACTTGCATACCGTTCAATTGCACACATCACTCACATCGGCCTATTCCTAGTAATTTTCATTGCTTCATCAATGAGATTATATTATTTTAAATTAGCCAATTAGTGCACTGAAAAAAATTTACGAAATTTGAATAAATATTTGTTTAGATTAGTACCAATGGGACCATTTGCTTACAGAAAATATTCAATTAAAAAAAATGATATTTAAATTAAGTAAAATTTTTTTTAATTGAACAAATGTTTATTTACTGTAAATAAATGGTACTATCTAAACAAATATTTATTCAAATTTCGTAAATTCTTTTTCAGTGTGATGTGGGCAATTGAGATATATCCTATTTTGATATTCATATAAGAAAAAGGATATTTATATTGAGCCCTTTTAAGATAACCTATTGAAAATTATTCATAGATGTTTTTTGTTGGATCTTAAGAAAATTTAGATTTTTCTTTGTAAAAACT